ACAAAGGCGATTGAGGAAACAAGAGCTGATGAGGGACCTTATAGTCAAGCATCCCAAATGGCATACGATTAATCACATAAATGACGGTGAGCACAACATCCATCCAAAACCTCTTAGGAATGTTCATATGCAACATTATCCCACAAGCAACTTCAAGAAGATGTTGACTTTTCTGTTTAGCAACACTATTTTGTACTCTTTTTCGTTATCTGACCGAAATATTTGAATTTCTACATGGAATTGAATGAACACCATTTGCTAAAAATCTTTCACAACTTCTGGAACTTCTTCCCTAGTACGCATACGGAAGATCAAGTATAGCGAGAATATCATCAATCAAACTGATAAAATATCTAATAGTCACCCTTAGATGGTGTAGTAATAGGCCCCCAAACATTAGAATGCACAATATGGAAAGGAAAATAGGATTTTTTTTATTACTTGAAGAAAACAATGTTCTACAATGCTTGCTTAATTAACACGTTTGACATTGAAAATTTGACACTGAAAGAGACTTAAACAAGCATGAATAAATAATTTAATAACTCAAAAGGCATGTGACCTAAACAATTATGCCATAAGAAAACTTGATTCTTATTAGACTGACTCAACTGACTACTCAATTCTGATACTGATGTCTTGAAACCAGCTTCATTCTCAAGAAGATAAAGTCCATCTACCATGCTTCCTCTAGCAATCGTTATCCCGAAGGTGAGATCCTAAAACACGCAAGAATGAGGGAAAGTTACACTGTAATTCAGGGATTGGGTAATAGTACTTATAAGGCCCTGTTCGTTTTTCGGTAAGTTATTTACCTGGGTAAATGCAGTTACTTGGTAAGTTTTTCCTGGGAAACACTTACCTGGGTAAGTGCATTTACCCATGTTCTTTTATTTCTCATGTAAATAAGACAATGACTATTTTAGCCATAAAAAATCATTATTAAAAAGGGCATTTTTGTCCCATTCAAGTATTAGCAACTTTCCCCTAGGTGGGAACGTTATTTACCCACCTAGGAGATGGGATACCCAGGAAAATAAACTTTCCCAGGCCCCTACATAAATCTGAAAAAAGAACATGGGATTCTTGGTCAATGGGAACCAAAATCCCATTGACCAACTTTCCCCCCTCTCAAAATCCGAAAAAAGAACGCCCCCTAAATAGCAAATTGAGAGAGGAAGTTATGGAACATGTAGTCCATTGGTGAGAGCAATGCCATGGGGAAGGGATATTGCTCCTTGACCAGCAATGGAAGAGAAAGATCCATTTGCAAGTCTTACCTTACCCCTTCCAAATAGGCCATAGGAATGAAACAAATTGGACTTATTGGTCATGTGATTGGAAGCCCCATAATCAATAACCCATGGGGAGTCAGAAGCTAGTGTGGAAACATGGAAAGAAAAGGCGCCAATACCTGATGTAGATGAAAATGAAGTAGAGGGAGTATTGGTTGCACTATCCATCTAACACAAGGCCCTACCATAAGTGTCTAGGTGATCACAAAATAGGTTATGAGCTCTTTGCGGTCTGAACTAGTATGATGCTCTGAGGTGCAGTAGTAGTACTGTTGGGCGAAGAATCATTGGTTGCTACATTTATTGCATCATACTTCGTTTGTCCTTGCACCTTGTTTGACTCCTGATTCTCAGTTGCCCACTTTGACTTCCCAATAAAATCCCAACTGGTCTTACATGTATGCTTGGAACACCCACAATGAGTACACCACAATTTGTCCTTGTCATCACCCTTCCTTATCACATTGTTACTAGCTTTCACAGCCAAAGCAACCTGCTGCTCCCCCTCAATTGTAATCATCAAACTCCATTTGCTTTCCTCAGATTGTATTATGACATAGACCTCTTGGATTGATAGAAGATCACTACTCCCCAAAATTTGGGCCCTAAGGGATTCATACACTGGGATTCAGCCCTAACAAGAATGCAAAAAAACACTGTTGGGAGCATAGTTGTCAAGGCGTCACCTAGGCGACTAGGCAGCTCACCCAAACGCCTTGACATTTAGCAACTAGGCGCCCTTCTAGTCAACCAGGCGCCTGCCTAGGCGACTAAGCACTAGGCGACAAAAATGACAAGGCAGGCACCTTTTATAATGTCATTTATATTGATGTATCGTATTAATGTATGTGTTACTACATTTTATTATATGCTATATATCAATTATACTTTGTTTTAATGTTTTACTATTGAAATTTAAAAGATCAAAGGGTTTTGAGGAGAGAAAAAGAAA